AGACACATTTGCTCGCATGGACAGACACTACGCTCAAACATATCACCATTCCATCACCTCTGCGCGGACCTCAATGCGCGGCGCATCCAAAGTTAGCGATTGGGGCTTAACAAACCACATCCTGCTCCTGCTCCACCACAGGATAAGTTGTACATGTATTTCAGGCTATTCGAACACGCTCGATTGAAACCGTACACAGAAAGCGGACTTTCTAAGAGTTCGGAGTGTTCCTCAACTAATCCCAACGCAAATTATCTCATGGATCCCGAGGACTTTAGAAATAGTATAAGCAGTCTTGGAAGGAGAAAAACTTCCAAAGTTCGAAACTGGTTTCAGATTTCCAAACTATTGAGGTTCAAGGGAAATATGTCGGTTCAAACCTGTAAAACTCGCACTGCAAACTACCCAAAAAATACTGGTAAGGGGAAAGATAAAATCTTTCCCCTTACCACTGCATTCTTATTTTTCCCAAAGGTCCGCTAATACGGAAGTTATGGTCCTTTTTAAAGACACCTCACTTTCCTGAAAATCCGCGCTCCCATCAAACGACCTGCAACCACCTTACGGCTGGAGGTCCTGCCCAGAATCCCTTCCCCGCTACCCCGGCCTTCAATCAGCTGATTGTTTGCTCTCGTTCGTATTTACTCTTTCGTGTTTATCTTCTTCTCGGTTTATTCGAATATAAAATATTTATCTTCTTCTCAGTTTACTCGAATACGTGTCAGAGCGCGCCCCAGCAATTTTGCTTGGACCGCTCAAAGTACTTTTAGAAGTCGGCTTGATTTCCTGTTTTTTTTCTTTTAATTGCAATTGATTCAGGTACCAGAGTTTGTTTTGACTCGAGGAAAGGTGGGTGAAACCTAATGGCCATTCTTTTCTATTCTCTTATCTGAATCAGGAAAGAAATGAGCAAAAAGCGAGGAGAGCCTCGTTCAGGATTGTTACTTTTTCTATTTTTCGCGCTTAATTATACATAAACTTATGAAGTTTCTTCCTCCTCGGAGGGGGAGGGGAAACTTCATAGGTTTATGTATAGGAGGGTCGTACCAAACCCCCAAAAAAGGGGCGTACGGGCTTCACCAAAATCCCCAACCATTGATGTGCCCTGGGCTACACGCCTAGTTTCATAAGAAAATCCACTCATATTGCTCACGGTGTGAATTAAATGATTGGCACAAACAAATAGGGCGAATGATCGGATGCAGATAACAGCTATTCTCAGTTGCTACGTAACAAGACCTGCAGTGATTTATATTCCATCACAGATCCTTTGACAACGATGTGTGAAATTGGATTTCAGTGTCAAGTAACCGTATTCTGTGACAAAAGCAAACAACAAACAGCTCACTCGGAATGTGCGTATGAAACGTTTTCTACTTAACAAAGAGAAGTGTTAACAGCTACTCTACTTCTCCCCCTCCCCTTCCCCCACTCGCTGCCCCACTCGACAGCGAAATTTTTCGGAAAAACTGGGAAAATTGTCGGGGATTTCCGGAAAAAAGTAGGGGTTTGAGAAGATCTAAAAAGTGGTGGTAAGACGAGAGGTTGGGGAATTGTGGGGGGGGGGTCGTATCAAGCCACCTTTCAGTGAATATTGCACGTAAAGCGATAACAAGTGATAGGAGTGAGCGCCGTCGTTGATCTTCAAACAGGGCACATCTATGTAGTTGGGGATTTTGGTCGAGTTCGCATGAACTTTAGGAACTCACCAAAATCCCCAACTAATGATGTGCCCTGTTTGAAGATCAAAGACTGCGCTGACGCCTACTATCACCTCTATCATTTGTTATCCTGTTTTGCCCTCACCATCAATGTTCCCCTTACATCTCCAGCCCATATATTAGATTTTAGAACCAATGTCTTACCGTTGCTTGAGCGGGCACTATGTATTCTATGAAACACAGACAGAAATACACAGATAGGCATTGTTGGAGGATCATATATAGTAGGATGGGCATGGAGGACTATGATGAGCCGAGCAAAGCTCTCGCACATGTTAAAGAGAAGAATGGACATGGAGTCCCAGAAGCACCACATCCGGTAATGCTCATTCGAAATGGATAGAGCTGGATGTGGTGGAGAGTTTGTCCGGAAATACCAATTAATCATTCATGAAAAGAAGGCAATTGCACTTAGAAGTTTGAAGAAAATACCATGAAGACGGCTTCCATGAAAACAGGTCATCAGGTCATCTTATCTGAAAACAAGGTAAGTTTGAAGCAAATAAAGCAAAGGGGAGTACACTGAAAAGCAATACCTTGGTTCAAAGTGGACACGTTATTGTCGATGACTCGCTCCCAGCTTCCAAGAAATTTGGTCACGCAGTTCCCGGGTGAACGACAGATTTTTGTATTAGGTTGTCCGGAAAGTTTTGAGAAAATTCACAATTTTAGTTTGAAAATGTGCAACAAGCCAGTGCCCCAACAAAAAGTCATATATCAGATGCTTTGAGAAAGAGAAATGTTTGCAGACCAGTAATAATGCCGGTTGTTATTCCTGAAAAATGTACGAGCACGCATGACTTTTAACCCCTTCTACTTCATCTTAACCTTTCCAGCTCCTCTACCGATCAAATCGGGAATGAGGAACCGCCTCCGATGCTGGATAAAATGCGCTTCAAAATCATCTATACTAAGAGATCAATCAGTCTCTTCCATAAAAGTCCAGCCTAGATGTTGCATACGCACACTCATTCTCAGTACTCGCTTGGTTTTAGCTCCCACGCACGGTAATCCCTCCCGAAAGGTAAGGGACATAGAATGGACAATATTTATTATAACTATGAACCACTATCTCTTATTGTTGTTGATAAGTGTTAAATGAGCTGGTTGAAATTTCTCAAAACTTTCCGGACACCCTGATAGCAACCGAACACTTCAACTCATTGAACAGCGCCAGGCAGATCTTGCCCGCTTCACAGAAAGAAGAACGTTGGCATCAGCCTGCGATGAGTCTAATGACATAATGTAACAGTGCAGTTGCAAGCGACTTTCAGCAAGCAAATGACGCCATTCAGGACCAGAATAGACGCTGCAAAGGTTTCTGCATACACGCCTGTATTGAAAGGGTCAACATGGTTTCAAGAATTTTCTAATTCTTAGAATGATAGCGCTAGGCGGAGTCGAAACAAGCGTGGTGTCAGAACAGGCAAAATGAGCCCTGCACCGGCTGCCTTGCTCTATCAATGGTGATCGGCTAGCGATCGATCGAGGCAAGAAACAACCACGCAGGTATGCTCAGCCTATCCCTTTTGAAGCAACCACGTACCGCCCTCATGATTACGTACTTTTGGGGCCGTTCAGTGCGGCTGCGTTTGGCGCGGTGCCAAACCCGCTCTCCACCAGCATTTAAAGCGAGCAAATGATATGACTATATTACATCCTCCTGAGAACGGCTTCAACAGTGTGCACACTCCTACTGGCTGACACGCCCCACCGGTCCGCAATGATGAGGACTGTACATGATGCGCAGACGAAGAAATGTTTGCTAGTTTAAAACAGTTTAATGAAATAGATCTCGCTCACTGTCGCTGCCAAACCATTAGATTGCAATGAGCGCCGAGAGATGAAAACAAGCATCGGAGCATGTTCACTTGCCACTTATAAATCATACGTACGCCAAAGCGAATAACCATTGTAGCAAAAGATTCCTGCACTGCGGCTTCCAAGCGGCTCTACACAAGCAACAAAACCGTCGTTATCGGTGCTTATTGTCTGTTCCTCGAATCAGATAACAATACTGAGACCTGGGTTCAACCGCCTTATTCGCCACACCTGCAACCGTGCTATTTCGACTGTTCTAGTCAGTTAAGGCACAGTCCAACGGCGAACGCCACGACCTTTTGTCAGTTGCCGAAAATGACATCAAATGCAGTTTTCGCACCTGTTCAAGGTGTCAATGGTGCAAACGCTCCTGCGGTATTGGGAGCGGATTACTGATAGAAGAGGGGTTTACCTAACTTGGAGTCAAAATACTACCTTTATCTGTTTTCCTATTTGATTGATTTTAATGAAACATCTAATGTTTTTGAATGGAATGACCTAATCCTAGTACGTATGAGTGGCTAAGTATGCCTCTGTGTATGTGTGTGTATGTGTGTGTGCGTCCATCTGCTTGTTACGAAATTCATAGCGCCGCTCCCAGTAGCAGTGAGACAATGATTTCAAGAAGTGATGTAGGGGACGTGACGGGAACACCATTTGGAGGTGACACAAAGTGATATCAGTTGATAAGATCCGATAAGAGGCTTTAGAATGGCGAGGTTACCATATTCATACGCGGGTGAAAGTAGCAGCTAGCTCTTAATTTCAAGATATGATATAGGATATGGACTAAGAACATTATTGGTGGGTAATGTAATATTTTCCTAGACAACTTGTTGTCGAAGTAAAATACTTATTATATTTAACTGCGAATATCAATTACAACGCTTTAGCGCGCTGCGCTGAACTCCTCCTGGTAAGATGGTAAGATCTTCAGATCAGAAACTGAATCGCGCCATTCTCGGCGATTGCGCAATCGCCAATTGCGAAATCCACTACTTCATTCGCCTTGTTGAGGGCGGAAGAACACTGAGCCTGGCAACCAAAAAAAAGCGAGCCTTCATTTTTATAGTGTCGGCAACAACAGGTAACAGGTGACAACAGAAACATAGCAGGAAATCAAAGAAACATCTTCTTCTTCTTTACTTTTTTGAAGAGTGCGACTTCCTTCGTTTCTGTTCTTTCTCCTTCTTGCGTTTCTCATCCATATTACCTCTCCTTTCTGTGCTCCTCCTGGATTTCCTGAAATATCGAGGTGATATTTTTGACAGGAGAAGATTGGGAAGAGAAGCTAACAACAGGGTGGGAGTGTAATTGATATTCGCAGTTAAATATAATAAATATTTTACTTCGACAACAAGTTGTCTAGGAAAATATTACATTATATTACACTGCTCATATCAATTACAACGCTTTTTCAACACATCTGTTCGAAGAGAGCACCGTGTCCTGGAACGATTACTCCAGCGGACCTTTGTAATTAAACTTCTCAAAGGTGGTACCGTTTAGTGCCCAATTCGCTGCTTCCATAATTGCCTTTGAAGAGAGACCCTGCCTTTTTGAAAAGGTTGTGCTTGCTGCCCTAATTGAGTGCGCTTTAAATCGGTCATCTATGCCTGAGTTTTTCAGCACTTCTCGGAGACAGCGAGCTATTGTGTGGATGTTACACTTTTTGTGAGGACGGTTAAGGCTCATGAATAAAGTCCGTACTTGGTTACGATATAAGAGAGTGCGATTTATGTAGTCCTTTATCGTCGTCAAGGGACATAGGAGGATGTCGCCTTTATAGGCTTGCACGACCGCTGTGTGTGCTTTGCCGAATCCTCTATTTTTCTTCATGAGGAGAAGGCCCAACAACCCTCTCCCAAGCGTACTGAATCTAACGATAATGCTGCTAAATCGGAAACTCTTTTGGGAGCCACTAGGGCTAACAGCATTACCGTTTTTTGAGTTAACTGTGTGAGGTTCAAAGTGGCATTAGGCTCTAGAGATCTCAGATATTTCAGTACTGCTGATACATCCCATATATCAGCATATCTGGGTCGTGGGGGACGCTGTCGGAAGAACCCTTTCATGCACCTATTTACAAGGATCATGTCCTTCCTACAGAGCTCCCCATTGATCGCCGAAAGGTAGACGATTATGGCAGACTTATGAGTGCTGATCGATGAGAAGCTTGCGCCTGATTCGAACAACTGGCCCAGAAAGTTTAAAATGTCTTCGACCCTAGGGTGCAACCTGCCTATACCAGTATCCTTGCAAAAGGCTGCCCACTTTTTCAAGGCGCTATTGTACTGTTTTATTATAGCGCGTAACAATGTGACATAATGGATTGCACGACACCTCTTTTAGCCTCCCACCTCTCCAGAATTCGCCTAAATGATGCATGCTATCAAATGGAAGGAGGGAGATTTGAGGCATGGGTGAGGAGACCCGCTGGTATCTGTCAAAAGGTTTCAGTCCGATATCAACGGCGTGATCTCTTTGCCGTGTTCCATTACTAGCGGCCACCAATTTCGATTTTTCCACATGGGGCACACCAGAATCAAGCGTGCCTTCTCTTTCAGGGCTTTTCTGATCGTCTTCCCTACTAGATTGAATGGCGGAAAGGCGTAGCCGTAAGTCTCCGACCAGTCTTGAGCGAAAGCGTCTACGCTCGCTGCGCCCGGATCTGGAAAGAAGGAGAAGTATTTCTGACATTTGTTGTTCCACCAGGAGGCGAAAGGGTCTATTTAAGGTACGCCCCACTTTGAAAACAGTAACATGGTTGCTTTCCCATCAAGAGAATAGTCGGAAGAGTCATTCGATCTCCTCGAAAAAAGATCCGCTTCAACGTTCTGTACACCTGGCTTGTATGAGGCCAGCAGTTTTAGGTGACGTTTCAAGGCCCATAGCCACATAACCGCGTTAGCTTGTTCAAGCACTTCTGGTCCCTGCTTTCTCAATTATATACCAGACCGCCGTTGTGCTGTCCAGCTGCACGCGAATGGTGCAATGGCGAAGCTTGTCTGCGAAACAGCTTAAGCCCAATATACAAGCTGCTAACTCTCTCGTTTATGTGCCACCTTAGTTCTGAAGGTTTCCGCTTCCCACTAGTACTGCCGCATGCGCATATTGCACCCCATCTCATATTTGATGCGTCTGATGTAACAGTGAGTGACTCGTCTTCATGAAGGATAGGCTCACGAGCTACCTTACCAAAATTCTGTGATAACCACGTCAGGTCGCGCGCGCAGCTTTCTGGTAGGGGGCCTAAAGTCTTTTAGTCGTTCGCATTCTATGCAGAAGAGAAACCTTGCCTAACCATCTGAAGTAGGTCGGAAATGAGTACAGCATACTATGCTGGCCAATGCTTACTGAGTTGATCTTGTCCAATAAAGCTAGCGAACTTCGAAGAGTGACTTTTTCTGCGCTTCCGCATTTTTTTGGCAGCTTGACAGACATGGTTTGCTACTCTTTTGATCTGGGACGGAGAAAAAAGTTAATGAAATGGATAGTCATCCCGAGAAATTCTAACCCACTTGTGAGGTTCGCAGCCGTGATTTTTTCTCCGTTTATGGTTAAACCTAGATTTGTGAGGTAACATTGTATTTGTTGATCTTCGATGAGAGAGATTCCTTGTTTTGTCTATGATCAACCAGTCGTCTAGGTAAACAATCAGTCTGATCCCCCGACTTCTGAGTTCAAGAAGCAATAGCGCCTCCATTAGCCTGGTGAAAACGTAAGGTGCTGAGGGATAACCGCGAAGCGGCAGGCGCTTTGACTGAAAGAGCGCCTCCGCCTATATTTGGAAGGCTAAGAATTTCCGAAACTCTCTATGAATATGGACCTAAAAATATGCGCTTTTCAAGTCGATTTTCGCCATGTAATCGTGTTTCTCTAAGAGAACTTTTATCATTCCAATGGACTCAAGTTTGAAATGGTGGGTTTTGATATACCTATTGAGTGGCTTCAAGTTTATTATGGTTCTGCTTCCACCGTCTTTTTTTGAAATGACGAAAATTTTTGAGGTCCAAACTTCTGAGGACCAGGGAATCTCTTCAATGGCATTTTTGTTTAGCATTTCCTGCACTTCGACGCTAGAAGGTCAGATTCAGAGTCAGTTGGGCATGCGTACTGCAAGAAGCATTGGGGGATTTGGTCACAGAACTCTAACTCGTAGCCTTGCACCGTTTCACGTACCCAGGGGTCTTTTGAAAGAGCAGCCCAGTTTTTTTGAAATAGAGCTAGCCTACCAGCTCGTGCTTCGGACTCCTCATGGAGAGCTAGCTGTTTCTCGACCCTAATGAGATGTTGATAAACTGTCCTATCTCTCTTTGACAAATATGTCTTCATTTTCTTCGAACTGCCATGCGTCCTTTTGGCCTTTGCCTCCTTAACCAGCGCCTCGGTGAGTTTCTTGCGCTGAGACTTTTCCACGATCTTTGTTGTCAGTTTCGGTCCCATGAGCGCTGGGCAGACTTCATTCCAGGGAAGATCCGCTGATCGAACTGGCTCTTCCACCGGAAAGCGATGGAAATTGTGAACCACCTTCAGCGGCTCACCGAACGATCTGCAATGGCACGGCTTGATTATTAACTGAAATTGAAGAGTAAACGTGGTAGAACCCACCTCAAAAATCTTTCTCTTCTTCTGGTTACATTTGCCTCAACTCCGATCGACAAAACTTCCATGGCTTGCTCTATGTAGAGATCCGAACGCTGAGAACGACCCGCGCGATTTTCGCTGCGTGCGATCGCCATGAGATTGAGGGCATTGGGCAGCACCTCAGCGTCGGCCCTCAGCGAGATCTCATCGACTTGAATTCTGAACGAGCAAGTATAAGAAAGCGATTTCTGAAACGACTAGAATAAAGCTGCATACCTGAAGGATTTCCTGGGAAGACCTTCATCTAGGATGGGTGGAGCTGCCAGACCAGACGCCACCAGCGGAAGGCGATCATAGAAACCTAGCCTGTCTTCTGTGCTTACGTAGACGCCCGCCGCGCACTTGTTGAAATGATCCAGAAGCTTTTGTCGATGTTGACTCGTGTGCGCAGTTTTTTATACTCCATGCGAGCTATTTCTGGAGCCTCCTTAAGGGCACCAGCAAAATCAGTCTTCTTGGGGATCGGTCGCACGCATTTCAAGGGAGATTCTGAGTTGTATTTCTTTTTCAGAAGGTCTTCTCTCCCGCGGTGTAGCCCGTTGTCATCCGAATTTTCTTCCGAATAGAATATGCTGAGGCAGACTATGACGATGAGGAAGAGACCGACCATTCCGATGAAGTAGACTCTGTTCTTTTTTTTGCTGCTCCTAACGTCTTTGTCCTCGCTATTATTCTCCTTCGAGTCCGAGAACACTGACTCCATAGGGCCGTCGAGAAGCTCCTTCTCCAGACGCGCGAGCTCGCTGTCGTCCACAGAGCACGACATCTGAAACAACAACGACTGAACACCATTTTGAGAACGTTAATCTCAATCAAGAGGCGCATATAAGTCAAATTCATGATATGGTTACTATGCCCACATCACTGTTATCAGTCCCTGTTGCGGCGCTCTAGTGGCTTCCGCCGGTACTCCGGGCTAGCGTCTAATGACGCTGTCCTAATGCTTCAGAAGTTCTAATGACTTCCGAACAGACGACACCGTATCCGTTGACTGACAACAGTGTGGTGAGTCGAAGTTGGAGAATCAAAAAGAGACAACCATCTCCGGAGAGCTCAAGCAAGGCGAATGGAGTAGTGGGTTTCGCAATTGGAGATTACGCAATCGCCGAGGATGGCGATTCAGTTTCTGATCTGAAGATCTTATTATACCATCTTGAGAAGGAGCTCAGCGCGGCGCGCTAAAGCGTTGTAATTGATATGAGCAGTGTAATATAACAAGAACTGTCAGCTGCTCATAAGATTCGATAAGGGGCGTGAGAAGGAGAAGGTTCCCATATTCATAACGCGGGTGACAGCATCAGCTAGGCGTACATTTTAGCAAGTGTTATAGAGCGTGAGTTGGGAACATCAACCGTGGGTGACTGAAAGTGATAACTACTTATAGGGGCTGATAAGGGAAGCTGTAGTCGTCGCTGCTATTCAAGGTGGTTCACGTTACCAAATTTTAGAGATTTAGTGGTGAGGACATTGATGACGGGTAACAGGTAATTTTATCAATCGATAAAAACAGATAAGATACTATCTGCATTACATTTTTATCACTTCTCACCGTTATTATGCCGGGTATCGAAGGCTCGTGTGTGAACTCTTTCCCTTGATGGCAACAGAATCAAGGTCGTCCAATAAAGTATTAGAAGAGGCTCGTGTAGAAGAGCACTTCCACTTGTACTGCGTAGAAGAAGAAGACTTCATCATGATCATACACGACACTACGAGATGCCTTGATCCAAAACGAAAACAGTGTAAGGTTTTAGATGCATGTAATGGTGTCGAGGCGGGGGGGGGGGGAAGGGAGGGGTATAAAGCGCGGCTGAAAGGGAAAATCGAAAAATCCATCAGTCAAAAAATTCCGCAAATCTGCCTGGTATGTGATGTGTTAGGAGGTGGCGGTCGTAATAAGCAAAATAAGGAGGGACCCAACAATTAGGAGTGAGGACGTCCTGTCGGTGGTAACATTCGAGCTCTCGTGCACACACACTCTGACATGTACAAGCAATGTGAAGTTCTCCTTTTCAGTGTCACCCATCACTCTGCAGTTATAGCCTCTTTCGGGTTTAGTTACTCATCCGCACTAATTATTTACCCATTCTGGTGTCGCAACTGTGGTGCTTAATGATATGGCGCAGCTTTCACACGGTTGAAAGTGTGTGGTAAGCAAGAGGGACCAGATGTTGGAAGATAATGACTGATTTCGAGCTATTTTCAACTCATTTTCCTACATTTCAATGACAAAAAAAACTGCTACCATCTGGCACATTTACAGCATTCTACCTCGCTCAGGAGAAGAGTGCCTGGCGAAGCCAAGTCGGCTCGGCTAAGCCGGGCCGTGAAATGGAAGAAGGAGCACCCAGCGGCAGCCGGGTGATCCGACTAGTAATTCACCAACGCAATGAGTTCAGCGCGAGCGGCGAGCTTGCGTTCCATTGCCAGCCGGTGCGTTTGCACATTGCGACGCAACGTGGTTCTAAAGACCGTCTCCCGCGTTCTGACTTTCGGCATTCTATGCATTACTCACGGCGGGCACCGCCTTATCGCAAGGTCCTTTTTTAGAACTGACTTTGAATTTGTGAAGCGAGTTGGGCTCATTATATCAACCATACGGATATTCTCCACGTAATTCTTCAATGCGTTGACAACAATCGCGTGTGGCGAGAAAGGGTCGCGTGGTACACTAACCTTCTTTCGCATGCGACCAGTACGAGGACCGGGGGCCCATAATGTCGTCAACATGTTGAGGAGAAAAGCCTTTTGCGGAGGAAAAGCTAATGGGAACAGTAATGAGAGAAGTTTTTGCACGGTTGTTATGTTATTCGCTGAATGAAAGGAGTGCCTCTGGATTCCGCTGGGGTGAGGATGACCATAGTCCGCTCCAGTACTTCGGAAGATGTCTAGTGTCACCCTCAAATCCGCTGAGAAAGGTCCATTTTCTCCTTACTCTACGACAACACGCACTCGCTCAGTTTGGAGAATTCACGCCAAATGATAGTGGATCTCGGTGAAAAGCAATACTCTGCTCCTATTGTTGTCTGTTATTTGAAAACCAGTTGGCTCGCCGGCTAACGCCGGCGCGCCTCCTTCTGATACGGCAGGGCGAGCGCGGCTTCGCCGCGCGTATTTTCTGTCACATGTTTCTAGACTTGACTGATATCCGCCTTTTGTTCTGTACTTCGCTTTTTTCCGGTGTCTGAAGTACTCTTGAGCTATTTTACAAGTTCTTCGTCTGACTCCGCCCACCTCGGAGCAGGTTCCGCCTACAATTTTTTTTGGCCCCACAATCCTCACCGGCGACCCTTACTGACCTCAATCCACGTTTTTTTTCCGGTCTTTGAAGTGCTCTGGGACAGTTTTAAAGAATTTTCGTCTGGCTCCGCCCACCTTTAACCGACGACCCTCTGCTGAATTTAATCCACTTTTTTTCCAGTATCCGGAGTGTTCTGGAACCGAGCTACAAACTTTTAAAATGAATACCCAGCGATTTAGGGCAGGCTCCGCCCACTGTGGGCGTGTCTCAACACACTTTGAGTTTTGATCACTCTGATCACTTTGATTTCCTTTTCTTGTGACCTGGGCATTTCTAGATAGGCTCAATGTTTCTTTGCTATGCCGTACAGGTTTGTATGATGGAAGTGTTTATTTCGCCTGATGTTTCGACGGTATCGTTGTCATGAAAGGTCTGAAAGCATATCGAAACTTATGAAAGCTATCGATCCTGTTTAACCTAAACCCGTTCTTAACTAGTAGCAATGGACCGAGAAACTACCAACGAAAAGGAAATGAAACTTCAGATTACCTTTCCACTCCCACCAGCACCAACGATCTACAAAACTGCAGTGGGGGTATACAGCAGCAAGAGGAGCTAGAAGAATTCAAGAGATTAGCTACTCAGATAGCTAGTCTTAACGGATACACAGCCTGGCAGCAACGGCATACGCGAAATACAGCGAGACCCTTCCCACATAAAGCTGGGAATAAGCTGTATCTTCAGCTACCGTTCGTATCGGACCGCTTCACCGCAGTCATACAACAGTGCCTCCGGAGAGCCGATTCGACCAACGATGTTTTTTTGGCAAACACCAAGGGAAACTATCACCAATTGGTCAGAAATCGCCTCTACGACCGAATATGCGGTAACTGCGTATCTGTCCGTATGGGAAACTTGGTGACTGTTCACAAAGGGCTGTCGTTTACTAAATCGAGTGTTTAAAGTGGGGTGCACTGTATATTGGTGAGGGAGGGCATTAGGCGTACGAACGAAGGAGCATCTAACAAGCAAACGAAGGGAAAGTTTGATTGCACCGCTCGGAAGGCATAGAAGAGAACATTAATGTGGTTGTGATTTTAGCGTTAAGTGCATAATATTGGCCTAGGAAAACGGTGCTGTTGCCCAGAAAACCCTTGAGGCGTTCTAGATTAGGCACCGTAATCCATGTATGAAGAGTGCATCTCGATAACGGCCAATTTCTTGCCCTATATTCCACTATGTGAGCTTTAACAGTGAGAACATGATGCACTGCACTCTTCATACTACGTACGCATACTATTATCCTGTAGTAGTGCTCGGTCAGTCTCACCTGCTCCTTCTTCTTCTCCCTAGCATTAGTCCCGCGCCGTCGCAGGGTCCGCTGATCTTGTTAGACGTCGCCACTTGTTCCGAATCCACTGCATCTTCTGCTCTGTGGCTTTCACTTCAGTGAGGTCCCTCTTGATGACGTCCCTTCACCTTTTCTTCGGGGCTCCTCGTGGTCGCTTGCCCTCTACCTCGAGTTTCCAATGCCTTTCCTTATTGGTGGTCTTCAGGTCTCCTCAGTACATGACCGTACCATCGCAGTCGCTGCTCTCGTGCCTTCAGCTGGATAGGAGCCGTCTGTGTGATTGCTCTGAGTCCTCGTTTCTGACTCTGTCGAGTCGTGTCCAGCCGCAGGCCCATCTCAGCATCCTCATTTCAGTCTGAGTTGGGCTGCCTTTCATGGTTCTTGCAGATAGGCCAGCACTCACTGCCGTAGAGCATTGTAGGCCTTACCACAGCCCGGTACACCTTGCCCTTGAGTGTTCTCGAGCATCGCCGGTCGCACCAGGATTCCGTGAGACTCCCTCCATTTCATCCAGGCTGCGTTGATTCGGGCGTCACCGCTGGTCCACGCTGCCATCAGCTGCTAGGTTGCTCTCCCCAGGTACTGGAATTCCTCGACCCTTTCGATGCCTCTCGCCATGGCGATCTACGATGACTTCGGCGCACTCTTCGGAGCTCAGGAACTTGGTCTTCTTCACGTTTAGCCGGAGTCCATTCGCAGCGAGCACATCCTGCCACCGCTGCACTTTGTCCTGCAGTTCCTCCCTGCTGTCCGCTAACAGGGCGATGTCGTCAGCGTAGGGATGGTTTTTAGCGGTCCCTCACTGAGATTCTTTTGCCATGACATCTAGAGTTCAGGAGGAAGAGGAACGGGCTGGGCTGACCCATTGGTGTTACCCCAACCGTAATGTTTACCTCCTTTGTCAAGCCGTGAGGGGTGCGTACAGCTGCTTTAGCCCCATCGTACATGTCCTTCACTATGGGATGAGGTGTTCCGGAAACGTTACGTTCTCTGAGCGCTCTCCAGAGTACAGGCCTTGGCAGGGGCGTCGAATGCCTTCTCAAGGTCCAGGAAGGCTAGGTAGCAGGGTCGCCGCTTCTCTCAGTACTTCTCCATCAGCTGACTGGCGATTGAAGATGGCATCGGTGGTGACCTCTCGCGGCATGAAGCCGAACTGTTCCTGCGAGATCGGGAC